TCATTTATTTTCTTGGAGAGGGAGCAAAGCGATCCTAGAATATGGCTCAGGGTCTGGTCCCCACCTCTCAGCAACCTCCATAATGTAGAGCAGCTCAGCCAGCATCTGATGAGCAGAGATACAGGCAAAGAAAGGAGAACTTACTGGGAAGGAGGGGTAGGAAAAAGATAATGACTTAGTTCTTGGCAAATGGGAAGAGAGAAGGAGGGGACTCTCAGGGGAGGAAAATAAATCCCGAAGGAGACTTGGAGGGGTAAGAAAAAGCCACTTCACTTATTTCCTTGGAGGCAGTGTCATGTAGTGGTTCAAAGTGCAGACCTGTGTGTGACTCTTCGGTGGCTGACCTTGGGCAAGACTTAACCTCTCTGTGGTTCAGTTTTCTAATCTGCAAAATGGGAGATAAAGTAATCTGTGTCTCATAGAGTTATCATGAAGATTAAACAAGAAGTTTATATAAAGCACTTGAGAAAATATTGAGCATGTACTAAGCACTCAGTTAATATTGTCCGTTATTATTTCCAATTTTTCTCCCAGTATGTGTCTCATGATCTTTTTTTTTTAAGAAAAAGGCATGTTCTCCATTTTCACCTTACACTTTCTACTAAGCAACCGATGTTTATCTGGTATCCTAATAAGCGATTTTAATCCTTAAAGTCACTCACCTCTGAAATCTGCTCATTGGAAGGGTGCCACCCACGGAGCAAGTTCACAATAAATATTGCTGAGAAGAACTTACCAATTGCCACTGTCTGAACTGCAGCTAGGTATTGTTTACAGTCTTTCTTTGTGCTTCTCCCACCCCAGCAGAAGAGTTTGAACCAGAAAGAATGTGGACCTAGGAACATATAGCCCAACTGAGAGTTATGGACAGTGAAATACTACATACAGGAAGACCCTCAGCCCCTGCCCCACCTCAGTTCCCAGAATGAGGGTAAGCAGGCTGACCCCTCTCCGGTGGAATATTGGAGAATCTCTATAAGGAAATTGAGAAGACTAACAAAAGGTCTACAGATACTCAGGGGTGAGGTCCCCATTGAAATGGTTTGGCAGGTTCACACTACGGCGAAGCCCATCCATTGACAAGTTTCTTGTTAGCTTTTAGTGTTGCACTCTTAAATATGAACAGATAGTTACAGATCATTTCTCATTTCAAAATCTCTCCAAAATAAAAGACAACACCAAAATGAGCAGAATAAGAAACTTGCAGGAAACAGGAACAATGTAGAAAGTAGAAGAGAACGTTTTTAAAAGATTTTTATAATTAATATGCTTTTGAGATTTAAGAAAAGATATTGCATCATGAAATTAAGAACAGGTGCTATAAAACAAACATTCAGAGAAAAACAACAAGGATATTTGGAAATAAAAAAACATAAATAGGTTTGCAGAACAACATGGATAAATTTCAAAAATGTTATCTAAAAAAAGAAGTCTGACACAAAAAAAGTATCTACCATACTATTCCATTTACATGAGATCCAAGAGCAAACAAAACTAACCTGTGGTGATGGAAATCAGAAACAGGTTGCATGGGAAGTGGGGAGGAGAATGGACTAGGGAACACTTTTGGATGGAAATGTTCTAAATTTTGTTTGGTGGCATTTATGTGAATGTATTCAATTATCAAAATTTATTTAACCGAATATCTAAAATTTGTGCACATGACTGTATGTTAATTATATGTTAACAAAAACATATCTGCAAAAATGGAAAGTTCAATGGAAAGATTAAGGCTCTAGATCTAGCTATCAATTTACAGGAAATAAAAAGAACAGAGGAACAGGTTAAATGACACCACAGAGATGCAGTCAGCAAAATCTGACTGTGGCACACTCTATGGTTTAGCTGTTTTTTTCCCAACAAAAACATGCAGAGGAAGCAAATCTCTGATAATTCACAGAGATTTAAGAGACATATTGATCAATCGATTACATTGTATGAACCTTATTTGACTCCAACTTTAAACAAACTGTTTGTTTAGAGGACAAGTTTATAGGACAATTGGAAAAGTGTGAACATGTCCAGATATTTGATAATATTAAAAAATCATTGTTATTTTTTTAAGTGAAATAACAGTATCGTAGTGCTTGGTTTGGGGTTTTTTAAGTGCCCTTATCTTTTAGAGATTCATTATGAAATACTTATAAATAATACAAGATCGAGGATAGTCTGGAGCAGTGGGAGTTGACAGGTCCACAGATGAAATGAAATAGGCTGTGTGTTGATAATTGTTGGAGCTGAGTGTAGAGTACACTGGGTATAGTGTATACTTCATTTGCATGTATTTGAAATTTCCCATAATAGGACATTTTTTGTTAAAAAAAAAATAGAGGAGTAAGAAGAAAAAATAGAATTCTCCCATAAAAAAAAATGAAAGAGATGGAAAATAGAAGTAAAAGATCAGAAACATAAAGGAAAATTTCAGAATTTCACAAAACGGAAAGAAAATGGAAGGGAGAAATGATAAAAAAAAATAGTATGAGAAAATTTTCCAATACCGATAGTTCTTAATTTCTAGATTGAGAGGCCAATCAGTAGCTGGCACCATATATTAAAAAAAAAAAAAAAAGCCCCATATCAAAGTACATCATTGAGAAATTTCATAAAGTTGGGATGCTGACCCACAATCTCGCTTACCTTCTTACAGTCCCTCTGCTGTCTCCATTTCTCTTTCCGACAACCCCTGTGGGTATCACCTCTAGGCAGAGTTTTTCCTCCACTTTTTGAATGAGATGAAATATCATACCATAGGATGTGGGACCTTGTTGCCAGAGATTTGTTATGGGTATGAATGACAAATGTAGAAATACAGACAACTTAGCTTTTGGGTAATTCTCGACTGATGGATACAGGAGATAGGAGGGAGCTGGACAGGTAGATTCTTCCTCCTCTTTTCCCTCCTATGGTTCCTCCACGTGACCTTTCTGGAAGGGTCCCTTGTGTCCCGTAAACCAGCAGTCAGTCTGGTAATACCTGGCATCACACTCCTCTTCCCTCATTCTCTTTTTCCTTCATAATATCCTGTTATGAAGACTTTAAAATACACAGGAAAGTTGAAAATTTTTCACAGGGAGCACCTATAAACCCATTACCTAGAGTTTACCTTTGACATTTTAAACAGCTTTATTGAGATATAATTAAAATACCATAAAACTGACCCATGTAGAGTATACAGTTCGATGGCTTTTAGTAAATTTACAGAGATAGGCAAACATTATCACAATTTTAGAATATTTTCTTCACCTTGAAAAGAAATGCCCTACCCTTTAGCAGTCACTCCCATTTCCCCTCTTCCAACCCTAAGCAACTGCTAATCTACTTTCTGATTCTATGGAATTGCCAGTTTTGGACTTTGCACATAAATAGAATCATACGATGGCGGTCTTTTGTGACTGGCTGTTTTCACTTAGCATAATATTTTCAGTGTTCATCCATGTTGGGTTCAGCATGTATCAGTACTTCATTTATTTGCACAGTCAAACAGTATTCATCGAATATCAGTAACATTTTATTAGACTGACTTGCTCTATCATGAGTTTATCCATTTTTCCATCTTTCTATTGATCCCTTAATTCATCATATCTTTTATGTATTTTCACATAAGCTCGCCTCTTTTCTTCCCAACCCTCAGCACCTTCACCTTTCAAATAAAGCTCTTATCACATGACCACCCTAGGTGCAAAGGTCCTGGGAGGTGGAGTACTTAGCCTTCTGGCCTCTGTAGTAGAGGGGTACAAGGGAAAAGGGAAACCGAGAATGGACTTTTGCTGCCTTGGCTTACGGCGTTTCTCAGTCTCGAGGACATCTCCCCTTTAGTTTCCCCTCCCACCCTTGCATCCTACAGATCTTATATTTCAGAAATGCCAAATTCCTTAAAGTTTCCTGCACATTTTTCCTGACTCCATCTCTTGCACATGTCCATTACTTGCATAGCTTTCTCTGTGTGACAGATTCTTCCTTCATGATTCAGCTCGTGTCACTCTTCAGTGACGTTTCTCCAACATACACACACACACACACACACACACACACACACACTCAGACATACACACTCAGACACACACACTCTCTCTCTCTCTCTCTCTCTCTCTCTCACACACACACACACACACACACATACACACTGGCTTCTCTGTGCTTATTTTAAAATCCTATTATGGTATTTATCCTACTTTATCGAATTAACCTTTTGACCTGTCTATCTCCACCAACCTGTAAGTCCTCAAGAGCAGGCCTTGGATGTCTTGGTGTCCCTAGAACTCACTTCAGGGGATGGCTCAATAAATATTTGTTAGATAGTGAATGAAAAATATCTAGCTACCACCTTTACTGTTGTTTATTTAACCAACGTTTTTTTGGACATGTACCAAGAAAGGCCTTGTGGTAAGTACCTGGTTTGGATACAAAGATGAGTAAGTATATCCTGGGCCTCAGAGGAGCCTACGATACCCTTTTGTCTGGGCAAATGCAAAATGAGACAAGACACCAGGGCAACAGATGTAAACTACGACTGTCTCAGGTAAACCGGAATATATGGTCACCCAAATTACATGTTACATACACTGCTTCTGTGAAAACAGCAGTGCCACGCTGACTCATGTCCAGCTTGCCAGACCCCAGTCACTTCTGGAATTTTCTTGCACAAGCCAATGACTCGTAATTAGTGCTTGGCTCATTTAACTCTTTAATTGTTGTCATCCATGTGAAAATTATCTATGAAATTTAATATTCCTAAGGCATTCCCTATACTGTGCACATAAAAAACATATTTTAGCTATTAGACAAAAATCACCTAATGAACAGCTAAAACACTTGTCAACCTTTTTTCATGTTCTGAATGCAAGTCAGTAATCAACATGTGAAACCCATTACATATATAGGGTTCCCTTAACAAAGAAAAAAAAAGAGAATGGGTATTGGAGAGACAATCAGCAACGTCTATTACACTCACATTAGTGTTTTTGTTTTGTTTTGTTTTGTTTTTTGTTTGAGTGTTACAGGCTGGAACAAATGGTTATATGGCTCCTGAAATCCTGATGGAAAAAGCAAGTTATTCCTATCCTGTGGACTGGTTCGCAATGGGATGCAGTATTTATGAAATGATTGCTGGAAGAACACCATTCAAAGATTACAAAGAAAAAGTCAGCAAAGAGGATTTAAAGCAAAGAACTCTGAAAGAAGAGGTCAGATTCCAACATGATCACTTCACAGAGGAAGCAAAAGATATTTGCAGACTCTTCTTGGCTAAAAAGCCAGAGCAACGCTTAGGAAGCAGGTAAACTACCACATAACGGAGATGAATGTCAGTATTGTCCACAGAGATTTGAAGAATATTTTGAGTTAGTAACAAAGCCTTGGGATTATGTAGTATTATTTTTCCTATTATTATTTGCATATTATATGGTTAAGTATTTCTGGTACTTTCAAACACTATGAGAGCTTGATATGGAAAAATCTCCAAGATATATTTTAAAGTGTAAAAGTGAGGTGCAAAAGAAGCATACATAAAAAAGAATAAAAAGTATGTATAATTCAAAACGTTGCATAGAATATTTTGAGTATACAAAGACTGTATAGAATTGGTTGCTTCTAATAAAGGGAACTTGGGAGCTGTTGACAGGGGTGCAAATGAAAATGGTCACTATATAACCCTACTATCTTTTAAAATTTGAACCATGTGAATCAATTATCTACTTGAAAAGGCATAAAATTAAAACTTAAAATAAAATCTAAAACAGCCATAAAGAGCAATAGCCATAGCTCTGGAAAATTGTGCCCCTATTAAAAATCTCTGTAAAATATCATCATCAATCAGTTAACAGATATTTAATGAGTACATATGATGTCGCCGGCTAAATTAAGTATAGTTGGAATTATAAAAAAAGTTTTAAGAAAAGGCCAGTTTTATTGCTTACAATGAAATAATAAGATCAGGATATCTTAGAAGAAAAAAATAAGTAAAAGCTAGCCTGTGAAAAGACCCTTGGCTGTGGGTGACTGTCGTGTGTGGAGAAAACCAAGGGCTTAGAGTCACAGACTCACATTCCAGCTCTGCTGTAGCTCTAGTATGTACTGGTCAATTTACCTCAAGCAATTGAATTACTTTTTTTGAGTCTCAATATCCCCACATATAAAATGGGGGGTGTGGGTGGGGGAGAGAGGTTGTAGGTGTGATGGTTAATCTCAGTGTCAACCTGTCTAGGTCAAAGTACTCAGATATTTGATCAAACATTATTCTAGATGTTTCTGTGCAGGTATTTTTTTTTTTTAGATGAGATTAACATATAAATCAACAGGCTTTGAGTAAAGCAGATTATTCTTCATGTGAGTGGGCCTTATTCAATCAGTTGAAGGCCTTAATAGAAAAAAAACTGACACTTCTGGGAGAAGAGGGAATTCTCCCAACAAACCATCTTTGGACTTGAACTGCAACTCTTCTCTGAGTCTCCAGCCTGAGAGTTTACCTTGCAGAATTTGGACTTGTCAAGCCTCCACAATAGTGTGAGCCAATTCCTTAAAATAAACTTCTTTTTTCTCATATATATACACACGACTGTTAGGGAGGAAAAATTTATTTCTCCACCCTCTTAGGTTCAAGAATGGAGGCCTACAAATAAAATTGACAAAAGACTGATTTTTTTTAATTCATGTACATAGATAAGAGTTCACAGAAAAATGTGACTAGGATGTGGTTAGAATTGTATCATCTTAATAGTTTTATGCTAAGTGTTAACACCCTTACGAGCTCATTTAGGCCTTTCTGATAGGACATATCTTGCTAATGGGTGCACAAAATAAGTCCAGATAAAGCACAGATGCTCACAGACACAGTTCAAAGCCCTGCGGGTTTGTTGCTGAGACGCTGAGTGTGGTTTCTGGAAAAGGAGCTTGGCAGGCCCACTATCCTTGAGGATGTGCACTGTGTCTATAACTGCTCACTGCAAAACAAACACCAAACACTGTTCTGACTTCCCCTTTTTTAATAAAAGTGAAGTCCTTTTGGGGTTTCTTTCAAATTGTGGAAACAGTTATTAAATAGATCTTTTGTAAAAGCAAAGTGTTGTAAAGGGAACTTTCAAAAAGCAAGGGATAACAGTATTATTAATTTGTTCTAAGGGAGATAGCAGATAATATTTTAACAAAACGATGATCTTGACTATCTTACATTACTTGAATTGAATTTTCAAAATCTAAAAATATATAAAAATATGAAAGCTACAATCATAAAATAATATGACTGATTTTTAATATTACACCAGAACTTAGGCAGCCAGATTACTCTAAATCTTCCAAGTAGTTGCCAGTGGAGGTTCTGAAACAAGGCTGCTTTAGCTCAAAATGTTTGCATATGGAAGCAAGTTTTCCATTTTTGATCTGATATTTTTAAATAGTGAAAGAAAATTCATTTGTAATAACTGTTGGAGCATGACAGATAACCAAACTAACAAGTGAGTATGTGGGAATTGGATGAGACTCTACATTCATGTGACATCAAATGTGAAGGTGATCTCCCATAGTGTCGATGCCAACATCGTTGTATTAGTCAGAATAGACCATGTTATAACAAGCGAATCCCAAAGTTTCAGCAGCTTAAACCTAAAGGATTATTTCTCATACACACAAAGCCCACTCTGGGTCCAGTGGCTCTCCAGGTTACCTATCTCCCTTCTGAGCCGTGGCTCAGATTCAGGCTGTTCCCATCTTGCAGCTCCATGAGAATTGGTGGCTTTCAGTTGCTGAGGCAAGAGAAGGTAGCCCAAGCAATTTTGTACTGCCTCAGCCAGGAAATAACCCACTCACCCACCTCTTCACACACACTTCTGTTGGCCAGAACAGTCTTCGGGCCCTGCCTATGGGTAGGGGGCTGTCTAGTGTGGTCTTCTGTGTGCCCAGAAAGGAAAGGAGAAGCAGACAGGGTGGCCACTGACCAATTCTACTGTCCTGGCTCTCGAGTATGAGAAGTGTCAGAGGTCATGTTAACAGTGGCTAAGGCAATGTGGGAAGCGAAGTCTTTTTACATGATTTTCCTGAAGAAAACACCACCCTCTTTTCGTGTTTGATTGAAAATCTCAATTCTTTATAAGCACACTTTGGGTCTATAAGATGAAATGTTGACAAACTTCAGGAAAATGCCACCTTAAAGCACTGGATCATTGCCTGAAGCAGTTCCATCGAGCATAACCTTTTTATAAAATTATCTGTTGTTGTGACTTTTCTGAATAAAACTGTTTACATTATAGAAAAGGCATATAAAAGCCAGCTGTTCAGTGAAAAAGAAAACCTTCCAGCATTTTCATTTGAAGTCTTTGTATTTTTTAAAAATTCATTTAAATAAGATAACATTTGCTTAATTTAATGGGTGTCCATCAAAGCAGAGCAAATGTCAAGATAGCATGTTGCACAGTGGAGAGGTCAAGTGCCCCCTCCCTTTTGCACTTACAAGTGTTTGAAATAAATTAAAAACCCTTCTCCTTCTTTAGGCATCACTAATGAGGATCTCCTCCTTTGCCTTTATGGGTCTGTGAGTTAATTTTGCAGAGAAACCAGAAGCTTTTCTGAGCATCTCATAGGGGCTCCAGATAGAGCCAGCTATGATGTTTTCCAATAAAATAAAATGTGAAGGTCACTTAATTATTTTGCAGGTTTTATTCCTATTAGTCAGTGCAACAGAACAAGAGCAAATACTCATGCATGTCTCTGACTAAAGTGCTAAATCTCCGACACACAATTTCAGGCTAATACCCTGTTCTTAGAAGACGCCCCCAGTGTGGTCCTCATGTATGGTCAGGTGGTATCTTGTCTTTATTGACTGGTATAAGAAAATCCATTGTAATCTCTGTGTGGGGTTCAGTAACACAAGAGCCCCTGTTAATGCTCAAAAACATATTTTACTCCAAGCAGCAGAAGTCTTCCTGTAGCTCCTGATTTGGCTATTATAAAAGATGCTGCTTTCATAAATAGCCTCTCCTCTTTGTCTAAAGCACACTGCATGAGGAGGGCCAAAAAAGCCCTGCACAAAGTGCCAGAGCAAGATTCAAGAGCAAAGTCATCTTTATGCTCTTTCTAATTAAAGAACTGAGGTTAGAGCCACTAGTGCAACAGATCAAAGCGATAAGTGTGTGGTAGCCTGGACACAGAGGTAAAGGAATAGGAGTCGCAAAGCCTAGTCTTTTGTTAGCATCGGCAACCACAGATATTCATTGGAAAAGGGCATCGTTACATAAAATTTTCCAGGGCTGAGAGAGGTTGACAACTCCATCATTACATCAAGAGTTTATTAAGGGAACTTATCTACAAAGCATGTTGGGGACAACTGGCAAGACAACATCAATATATTCCCCACCACCTGGCAGGTGATAAGGGGTTATACAGGGCAGAGCGGGCTGGATTGCCTTATTGGGGTGTGACCTACCACTGATAAGGCGAAAATACCTTCTGTGTTTGCTTGGGGCTGGACAACAGCCTGTCCAAGAGACCAGCACATCTGGGGCATAGGGGAGGGTCGGTCACACAGTCTCTGAGGGAAGTTGGGGAACGCAATCTCTGTTCTGGCCAGGATCTAGTTGGCAGGTTCGGCAGCAGTCAGACAGTGGTCATGTCATGGAATTGTCTCTCCTCCACAGGTATAAGGCACGGGCCCTGCCTTCCAGGGGCATCTAGTTGGGGTGCTGAGGAACATAATGAAAAACCCAAAGTGCTCAGTTGTTCTCTTGTCTTTTGCAACTAGTTGCAAAAGGGCAGCAGCCAGCCACCCCTGATGGGCAAGCCCAGGCCATCTGGGCCTGGTTGCTTGAGATGTTACTTGAGAACTGTTCATACTGATGTGAAGACTGGTTTGTCAAGTTTCCTGAGGTTATCAGCCCCTAGGCACTCTCCATTTATCCAAGTTAAAGCTGCTTAGAGTGAGTTTAAAGTACCCTCTCGACCTCTGGGACGGTATGTTCCTGCCTGCCAGCAGCCATCAAGGTGGTACAAACTCCTTCCTCATGGCACCTGGTCTCATTCCAACTCCTTTGTTCTTTCTGAGACACACAGGCCTATGGTTCATTCCTAGTCTACTTGAATGGAATTCTTGCTCTTCCTTTGTTCTGCCACATTTCAAATCTATCTGATACCTGAAAATGGAACATATTGCTGTGTAAACTATACCTCAGTATGGTTCTTTATGTCTTTTTATTTTAGTGTATCCTCGAAGCTTCGGTTTATCTCAGCAACCCTCCCTCAAGGCTCTTACTCTACAGGATATAAAACACCCAGCCATTGGTCAATAGGTTCTAACAGATGATGAGCCTGCATTTTCCTTTCTTTCAATTGATGGAGACTTAGCAGCTTTTAGAAGAAAAGAAATACCTTGTAGTATCTCAGGAAACAGCTCTCCATACCTGTCTTTCTGGTTGTGTCATAATGGGAAAAGTCCAAGGAGTCCTGGATGGCCTTTCAGGTTGAGGTTGGCCAGAATCACAGAACGACCACCCAGAGGATGACTGGATATCAGATGTCTCCAACCGAGTTTCTCCTTTCCATGATAATATTTTATTACAAATTTTCCTTTGAAAAAATTCACCGATATATTCTTGCTTTCTCGGCACACAGCTATTTTAGGGCTGCAGAAGCAAGTGAAGAGGTGAAAAGAAGTTAAAAAGACAGTTAAAAAACAGACAGGTTGCTGTGATGATAAAATGTGATAACGTAAGTGAAGAGCTTAACACTGGATTAGCTGACAGTAGGTTCTGAATACCTGTTAGCTATTCTCGATATCGTTATTAGTAATGTGATTATTGTGTTTAGTTTCTAGTCATCTTACTGCGCAGAGCCTCCTGCAGTAATCATGCAACATGGCAGGATGTATGAAGGAGGTCTCCGAAGGGGATGTATGGAGGAAGTTCTCGATCCTTCTCCTAAAAGCTTATTGAAAACAGAATGGAAAATGTAAAAGGAAAGACCTTGAATGCGATTAATTTCAATTAAGGTTGATTTATGATAGAAATCGACTTCTTCCAAAAGGAAAACATGTCTTACTCACACCAGCATATTTGTTCACATAAAGAAAAAAAAATCATTTGACTCCGATGCCACAAAACAGCCCCCTTTTTACTTTTTTAAAATGTGGACTGAAAAGAAACCAAGAGAGTGTGTGGTAGGCTGTCCCTAATATAGTCCCCAAAGATCCCCACCTCCTGGCATCCACACCTTTGTGTAATCTCTTTTCTTTAGTGTAGGCTGGACTTATGGACTTGTTTCTAAAAATATAGAATATGGCAGAAGTGATGAGACGTCATTTCCAAGGTTAGGCAATAAAAAGACTATGTCTTCTGTCTTGGACACACTCTCTCTCTCCTCCTCCTCCCTGCTACTATTTGCCCTGGGGAAAAGCAATAACAATGTTATGAGGCAGTCCTGTGGAGAGACTCATGTGGTGAGGGACGGAGGCTTGCCAATAATCACATAAATAAGTTTGGAAGCAGATTCCATGCATTCCTCCCCATCCCCAGTCGAACCTTCAGACAAGACCACAGCCCTAACCAACAGCTTTGCTGCAACCCCACAAGAGACCTCACAAGAACCAGAGGCACCCAGTTAAGCCATGTCTAGATTTTTGACCCACAGAAACTAAAATAGTTTTGTTTTAAGCTACTAAATGTTGGGGCAATTTATTACACAGCAATAGGTAACCAATACAAAGGTTACACAATTGGAAACATATTTTTTTTCCTTTATTCCAAGGCAAATACTATAATTTCTAGCATAAGGAAGGAAGATTTAATAATAAATAACCATGGTCTTGAGCACCAAATATATGCTCATTCATGCTACTAAAAACTACTAATGGATTTTATTAAAGTTTTTAAAGATTATTGTCGCAGTTGAGGGAGGTCGGTGGGCTCCTAGAAATCATGTCATATGAAGAGTGAGGAGATATGACTGTGGTCTTTTCAACTGTGAATAGTGGTCATGTAGGACAAGTCACGCTTAATTTGTTCTGTGTGATCCTGGTGGGCAGAGCAAGAGGCAATGACTAGAAGTTTCAGGTTCTGGCCCCACTAAATCTTGCTGGCGTTTCCATGAAACACCAAGAATAAAAGTCATGTCAACTGTATGACTCTTTTAAAATCACATCAACATGTGAAAGCTGTCTGCAAACAATGAAAGTGCTACTGTCCGCATATGGTGGAATCGTGGGTGATTTTTAAAGTTATTATTTTTCTAAGTTATTCTTTATGTCGTTCCATTGTCTTTATAATTGAAATGTATAGGAAAAGAATGCTACATCCTTTGTATTGTCAGAACATTTCCTATTTTGGTGTGTTACTGTGTGTCACGCTGACAATCTCCTTTCCTTACAGAGAAAAGTCTGATGATCCCAGGAAACATCTTTTCTTCAAAACCATCAACTTTCCTCGCCTGGAAGCCGGCCTAGTCGAACCCCCATTTGTGCCAGACCCTTCGGTGGTATATGCCAAAGACATCGATGAAATCGAAGATTTCTCTGAGGTCCGGGGGGTTGAATTTGATGATAAAGATCAGAAGTTCTTCCAAAGATTTGCAACAGGTGCTGTCCCCATAGCATGGCAGGAGGAGATTATAGAAACGGGACTGTTTGAAGAATTGAATGACCCCAACAGGCCTGCAGGTGGAGAGGGTAATTCATCCAAGTCTGGTGTGTGTTTGTTATTATAAGTTGTTCTCTCTACTAGACTGGCAGCAGGAGTCTCAGCTGACCTAATCCTCGAATGTTCCCGCTAACCTAAAAATAAAAAGGCCTTTCAAAGTGAGAGGCAGCAAGCATTTATTGAGATCAATAAGGATAGCTATCTGGGATGCACTGATGCAGGCAGAAACCCAAATAGTGTTCTAATTAGAAAACAAAGGCAAAGGGTATTTATGAAAAAGGGAAGGGGAACCATTACATTAATAAAAGGAAGGCATTTCCGTTGGTGCAGATAACGTAACATAGTGATGTTAATTCTAAATAATGTTTTTAATTTTCAGTCCAGTAGTCATCAGTCCAGTGGTCATAATAACTGTTTTTGTTATCTTTGCAAACAGTTTTTGGGGACATAATGTTGTCCAAAGCTTATTTTGCCCTGTTTTAACATTCCAAAGGTTTGAGGCATAAGACGTGCAGGGCAGTTCCTTTGGCATGGCAGCTCTGGCTCCATTTTATTTTTATTTTATTTTTAACTTTAAGGACATTTGTTTTCTTTCTTTCTTTTTTTCGTTTATTATGGTGACATTGGTTAATGAAATTCAGTAAGTTGCAAGTGTACAATTCATCTGTAAGTCATATATATATCGCATTGTATATTCACCGCCCATAGTTGGATTTCTTTCTGTCACCACATATTTGATCACTTTTGCCCCATTTGCCTCCCCACACCCACCCTCTGGTAACCACTAGTCTATTGTCCATGTCCATTAGTTTCTGTTTCATGTTTGTTTGTTGCTTTTAGGTTTATATCCCACAAATAAGTGGTATCATGCGGTTTTCAACTTTTTCTGTCTGGCTTATCTCGCTTAGCATGATTATCTCGAGGTCCATCCACATTGTCGCAAATGGCAGTATTTATACATACAATAGAATATTATTCGGCTATAAAAAGAGATGAAATCGCTCCATTTATATTGTTGTTTACATTCCTAACACATGAAACTCTGTTAGAGGACTGATCAATCAGGAGGGGCATTTCAACCATAAAACAGTTCAAAGGACAGGTGAGCTCACCTCTAGGACACCTTTCTTTTCTCTTTTTCTTTCTTTCTTTCTTTCTTTCTTTTTTTTTTTTTTTTTTTTTTTTTTTTTTTTTTTTTTTTTTCTTTCTTTTTTTTTTTCTTTCTTTCTTTCTTTCTTTCTTTCTTTCTTTCTTCTTCCTTCCTGAGCATCCTCGGTGCAGCCCCCAGTGATGCTTTTATGTGTTGGGTCTTTGGATGGGAATATTAATGGTGACTGCTCATGCTACCTGTAACTAGTTACAAGGAGAAAATTTTAAGATGTCCTAAATTAAATTACAGCAGGCTGGAGGGTGGAAGAAAGAGACAAGAGGGGTTAATTAGTTAACAGCTGCAGGGCAAAACCAACAAATTACTGCTTGCTTGCTTGCTTTTTCTTTCCCTTTCTTTCTTTTTCTTTCTTTCTTTTTTTCGTAAATATGAGTAAAGTCTCAGTTTTCGCTAAGGACTGGAAAAAGGAACACTCAGGTTTATTTTGATAAACTAAAAGCATCAGCTCTCTACCATCATGTCCCTGAAAATTACACAAAGTCCTAGGAACAGAGAAAGGAACTTTGTGGTGTACTCAGAAAATGAGCATTTGCAATTCTTAGTAAATAATCATTTTAGTTTTCCATTGTTTATATCCTTTCTTCCCTTCATTTTCGAGTTTTTCTTCTGCTTCTGTACTTATAAAAAGGATTTTGAAGCTAGAAATAAAAGTTCCTGATATTCTGTCCATAAAAAGAAGTGGATTATAATATTTTGGCAATGTTTCAGATAATTTTTAATTTACCAAAAGTCTTTTATATTTTTGAAATACTTTGCCATGTTAATGTTGAAGCATTTAAATGTGAATATACATGAGGTCTGTGAATTAAAGTATTCTGTAAATTGAGTCCTTTAAATAATATACTACGAAATTGCTTACACATATAATTCCATATGCTATTGTTTCCCAAACTTATCTGAATTTTGAAGTCACTTGGGATCTTTAAAAAATACTAATGTTTACCTCCCAGCCCCAGATTTTAATTTGTCTGGAGTACAGCCTGGGCATCTAGCATTTCAAAAGCTCCCCAGGTGACTCTAATGTGCATCAAAGCTTAGGAACCATGGCTGTGTAGATTTAAATGTTATCTCACATGGGTCTTTGCTTTGGCTGCTCAAAACTTCAAACACACATTTTGACAGCAACTTTTCAAATGTCCAAAAGACATGTAATTTTGGCAATTGCAGCGTAAACGAAACTGAAGATAATCTGTATTCATCTTGTAGATTTTCTTGTCCTTATACACTTTAATTCCTCATATATACCTTGGGAAGCAGATCTCTTGACTATTTCAAAATCGGAAGAAGAAATATGAGCTTAGAAACTAATTTGAACAAATGGTGACCCTTATTTCAAGTGGTTGCCCAGCTAGCACTTGATTGTAGCATTAGCACTTCTCAAAAGCACAGCCAAAGTGAGGATTCTAAGGCTGCAAAATATATTTAGGACACAGATAGAAATCTGGGGTGATTATTGTTATCTTTCTAAAAAGGTATAGGTATGCATAAGGAAATCTCATTTGTTCTAATGGTGAGAAGCCTGGCTAAAGTCATTTTAAAAGTTTTGTTCCTTGAGTAAGGGAGCCAAGAGTTGCAAAAACACCAGCCAAAAATTTTTTGATTACCTGGAATCCAGCTAAGAGTACTCCTCAACTACAAGACAGCATTAGCCATAGTGGAACGAGTAGGAAGAAATCCTCGTGGAGTGGAGTCCTGAGTTCATGCACATGCCACCGACTCTCTTCTCATCCTCCATCCAGTGAGCTCTCTGATGCTCCAAAACCCGCTCCAGAGACACTGCGGAAGCCTGGATCACCCAGGCAGGATACAGATGTGTCCAGCAGATTCTTTGTCCTAAGGCAAGAGAGTAGATTCAAATTTTGTAAAATTTGATAAACTTTCTAAATTTCTAACAGGTCTATTTTAACGAAAAACTAATGAACAGTTAACAGAAATCCAATTAAGCAGGATTTAGCTTTATAAACATGAGACATTTAAAAGTAATGTCTTATTGCATTGGTTCCTTAATTGAATGTCTACTGCTTTCAATAAACTTTAAATACAAATGTGTTTCATTTTTTAGAACTAACTCAAAAATAATGGAATAAGATGATACTCAAACAATCACCAAGAATGTGTTGAGCTTTAATTATACATTGAAGCCTATACTGGGTAGCACTAGAGACACCAGACAGAAATAAGACAACTATCTAGAAAAAACATGTAGTGTAGTGCAGAATGCAGACTCCTGTTGGTGTCATTATTCACCTGTTAAATGAGAAAACCGAAACTCATAAATATTTCGTAGCATTTCCAAAGTCACCCAGCTTTGCAGGGTTGTTGTGAAGACTAGAAATAATGTATGTGAAGCACATAGTGTATGATTTGCAGACAGTAGGGGAATAATAAATTGAAGACTATGGCCAGTAAGTAGAACAGTTTAATGATTCTAGGTTAGGGGACAAACTCTTAACAGCTAAATTGGGCCACCTTAATGAAAATTTCCAGGAGGTGAGAGAAGGTACAGAGCTGGGTCCTGGGGAGTGGTTGAAAAGGGAAGTTTTATGCACAATGAAAGAAAAATTGAATTAGAATAACTGGAGACACTGGGGCCCATCCCAGGCCTCATTCTCATCATATGCCAAGTGGGAGACCTACCTGGACCCAAGTTAGAGTGAAGGAGGCTCATCTAGACCAGGGCAGGGCACAGTGAGGGACAGACCTGGTCAGGAAATTAAATGCTAGAGATGGAGAGAAATAAACAAATGCAAAGGACTCCCTCAGGTTGTGGGTGGGATGCAAGTAAAGACTTATTAAATAGGATGCAACCAGATGTCTCATGAAAGGAAGGGAATAAGTTTTGAAAAGAGATTAAGTTAAGCTCATTTAAAAAGTTAAAATGAGCTTATGCTTTTCTAGAAAAGTTTTCTAAACATAATGAAATGTCAGGGGAAACAAAGACGTATATAAGCGAAATAGTTAGACAAAGAAGAACCAGCGAGAGGTCATTTTTATTCTTGCAGTTTGTCGGAGATTATTTTAAATGTTTTCTTTTCTTTTTCTATTTTTTCTTTCTTCCTTTTTTTCTTTTCCCCCGAAATGTTTGTTTCTTAAAGGAGGAGATGGATTTGATAAACTGCTTGAAAGGGCTTAGAAGTGCCCTCCAAAGGAGAAGGTATGGATGATGTTTTCATAGGAAATAGTGATAAATTATTGATTTTAAGATGGCAAGCCACAAAGAGTTAAGAGGTACTCTCAATTGTTTCTTTTGAATATCAAGTCTAAGACATTTCTCATTTAGGTGACCAGGTATGAATATGAAATAATTCAATAACTTAAACTTTACTTCTTAGGAATTACGTGTTTGGAAATCGTAAGCATTTACCAGATCAGTTTTTAAAGATCACTACATTATATGTATCATTAGAGAGTTTTAATAATAAGACTTAAATTACGTAAATTGTTTGGACAGTAAAACATAAAAACTAGTGAAAATCTCCTTCTTAAATGGTTATTCTTGGCAATTATAAGCCATAAGAAGAAAAACAATGATAGGAGGGAAAAAAATAGATGTAAGAATTCTTTTTTTTTTTTTTTTTGGCCTGAAAGACTTACCATATTGGCCTTTTGATTACCAAAAAATTAAAAAGACTTTACTGAATTTTTGGGGTCATTTAGGCTAAGTAATTGCAGACCCCATGACTGTTCCTCAGGTTTTTTTTCTCGAAATTTTACTGACCCATTAGATGTCGAAACCTGGGAATCCCTGGCCCAGATGACCTTGAATGACACTCCAGTTGCAGGGAAACATTCGCGTTTCAATGAAAAATGATGCATGGCCTAGCAGAGGATCTACAAACTGTAAAACACCAGAGAGTAAATATTTTCGACTTTGCAGATGGCAACTACTTAACTCTGCC